CAGCACCTAAACTGTGGAACAATCTCCCTACTGCCATTCACACTTCTGAGTCTATTCAGTCTTTTAAATCTCGCTTAAAGACTCATCTTTTTTCCCTGGCTCTGACTTAAGACAGTTTGACTATCATTTTGTGGCTTCTAAGATTGTCTTGTCTTGTGTTCCTGTTTGGTAAATGTGTCTTATTTTATTTATTTCCTAATTTGTGAAGCGCTTTGATCGACATTGTTGTTTTTAAATGTGCTATCCCATATGGAAAAGAAATAGTAAAAACATATATGATTTACTCATGAAAGTGGCCACTTTCTCATTACTTTCATTTTTTTTTTAGCAAGTATACAAAACATACAAGTTTCATTATATAATTTTTCAAGGGATCTTATATCTGTTTTCACTCTTGTATTCTTTTCATACAAGTTTCATACAAGACAGATACAAACTTTATAAGATTTATATATATCTTTTCCATATGGGTTATAAATACATTTTTGATTTGATTTGATATCTGCCGTGAGGACAAATCTGGACCAGGCTTGTGTCATCAAAGGGCCTGTAACTCTGAAAGTACTCACAGTATGAAGACAAACGTCAGACTGGCTTCACGAGATGTGCTGAAGTTTTTGTAAGAAAAGAAATCAGCTGATTGTGACGGGGTCAGGGGGGAGCACTGTTGCTCTTACAACTTAGTACATCGAGCAGCAAAAACCCCCCACTTAAATTCTAGTTATTTATTTTAATACTGAGTGTGTAATCAAATCTGCTGACATTTCCCATGATATAATGCCAGAAAACACTCAAAAACACGATGATGTGACTCCAGACCTTTTAAAATGTGGGAATCTTTAGTCCAATAGATGCTGAGAGCAGTGAGAGCCTAAAGTGATTTTTTTTGCAGCCGTCTACTCTAACGTCTCTCTGAGGGTTAGAACTCATACTCCAAAAAATGGATATGGGGTGGATCATTATCAGCCTTATGAGCCCATGAAAAACAATCTCATATTCTCGTACTTTATTTTTTTCATTCATTTCTTAATCTTCGACTCTGACTTCACCGTATGCAAGCCAAACGAGGCTGCCGTCCCATGTTTAATCAAACTTTCAAGCATAACACTACAACACTAGTAGTGTAGCCTGTGGTAGTTACAGGTAGTCTGTGTCACTGTGAGCAGTGCCATTCAGGTTAAAGCACAACAACATTGCTCATTACATACATGTTCAATCCAGGGATAATACAGTTCACAGTTTGCAGTTCATGTTGTGGGTTTTGTAAGGCTTAAAAACACATACTAAACATATTCCAGCAGCACAGAATACATATTGCACTTATAACAAGCTATAAATAAAATACCTGAAAACGTTGAGCACATACAGTGGAATAATAGAGCCAGATGAAGAGGCACTAACAGAAAAATAAGATAGAGGGAGGACAGGAATCAAATCACATTAATGCTCCAAAGGAATTAATTCTGAAATCAAAACAGGCATCGACAAACACCAAAACTGAATCCTCAAACACCAGACTACCTATGAACATGCTGCTAACTAACCCTTAGTCTGATATATGAAGCAGAAAGTTTCAGCTAAACCATCAGTCCTGCTCCTCTTCTCTCAATGTTTGACACTCTGAGTCTGAACCAAAGACCTACGGCCCAAACTAAACAACTAAACAAAGAGGATGTCCTTGCTTTACTGACTGCGTCTCTTTTGCATTTTGACAGCTCTCAGAGATAAAAATGTGAAGTGACAACAGACATTTACCCTTATTCTCTCCCTCCTCGTCTTCAGACTTTCTTTTGCAAAGTGATGAATAGAAACAGACAGTCGAATTGACCACTTTGTATAACTTCACACAGGAAGCGAAAACGAAATCAACGAGAGCGCAGCGGGAGGTCATATTAACGTTTCCTCCCCAAAGAGCAAAAACAAAGAACAGCTGGCTCACAGCTGGGTAAAACACAACGGTGTTTAATAACTGGACGCTCTTATGACCAATGTTCCCTCTAAGCTGCGCGCATGCGCGCATGCGCACTACTGGCACGGTCTTTGGGCAGAAAAAATCTGCGTTGCGCACAAAAAAAATTAACTTGAATTGAAATTAAAATAAATAGTTAACAAGGCTCAAGGTTCTTTATTTGTCACATGCATAGTTATACAAGTATAACACACAGTGAAATGTAACCTGACACGCTTCATCGCGAGCCGTGTTTTTGTTTTTTCCTCTCTCTTCTCTCTTGTGCTTTGCGCTGGACAGAGGGGGGAGGGGCGGTAGTTACACTCGCAGTAGCACAGGAACAAAGCAGGAGGGAGAGAGACAGAGAAAGAGAGCCAGGGACAACAACGTCACATTAGAAAGGTATAGTAATCGTCCACAACTATTTTCAGTTGCGGATGATACAGGATTCAGAAAGTTTATTCATGCAGGCCCATATGACAGAGAATGTGCATCTTCTTTTTGTTTTCATATTTTCATTTATATTTAATTGTGTTGTGGTTTGCAGCATTTTGTGTTGTTTCATTTAAAAAAAAAGCTGAAAATTTAAATAGTTAAAAGTTGAACTGTGACTAGTTGGTTTTCGTTTTATATGATTTATTTATTACATTTTATGTGGAGTGAATAAATAAAAGTATATTTACGGTGGCCCCTAGAGACAAAGCACGTACAAACTTCACAATACGTACAAACCCTGAAGCACGTACAAACTCCAAAACACATAAAAACTCAGAAGCACGTAAAAACTCCAAAACACGAAGAAAACACAACAGAAGTGCTCCAGAATGCTAGGCCCAGCATTGAGCTTTTGTTACCTGCACTGTTCCAAAAAATAGAAATGTCAAATTATTTTACAGTGTATTTTACAGTTGTGTACTGTTTTTCTAGAATATCATTACATTTACATAAGTAGACTATGATATGACACGTCAAATGTAAAATAACATAACATCACTGTAAATGTAATAAAACACAATTTACTTGTTTTTTAAAAAAAATTTTTTGTACATATGCATATTTAGATTGTAAAAATACATTCACAAATGTATCATGATTTCACAAATATCTGTCCGTTATTTGAAAGATTGAACTGTTGAATTCAAATGTAATGCTATGGAAAAGTATATAACATGGTCCCTATAAGCTTGTGTTTCATCACATAAGTATTATTATCATCACTAGTTAGAGCGATCGTGGCTCAAGAGTTGGCAGTTCGCCTTGTGATCAGAAGGTTGTCGGTCCGAGTCCCGGCTCAGACACTCTCCCTCGCTGTGTCCGTGGTCAAGACTCTTCACCTACCGCCTGCTAGTGATGGCCGATGGTGCGATATGGCAGCCTCGCCTCTGTCCCAGGGCATGCAATCAATTATTATTTAAACCAACTGTTAACTGTATATTTCTGTACACTTACGTATTATGATTCATATTTCCACATTCAGTGACCTGGTTTATAGGTAATTTCATTGTTTGATCACGTTAAAATGTTCCTAATTTAATGTCTAAAAGCACTTGGAAAAGGCAGAATCCCATGTCAAATTAGAGCAACAAACTCTATTTTCATTACTGAAAATAACTGTATTTTTATAGGACAGTTATTTTCTGTTATTTTGCGGTCGTATTTTGGCGCCCCAGCTGCCGGAATATTACCGTTTTTTTTAGATGTTTTTTTTTTACCTATTTACAGATGATTTCATTGTTTAATGACATTAACATGTTCCTAATTTAATGTTTAGCGGCACTTGAAAAAGGCGGGATCCCATGTCAAATTAGCGCAACTAATTGTATTTTCATTACTGGAAATAACCGTATTTTTATGCGGGAGTTATTTTCTGTAATTATACGGTCGTATTTTGGCTTCAGCTGCCGGAATATTACCATTTTTCAAGATGCTTTTTCTAACAGTGTAGAGGCTACACAAGCCAGCAAGTACCAACGACTTGCTGGCTTGTGTATGGTGTATTAACAGGTAAATGAACATTTTTTTAAATTATTTGAATATATATGGTGCTTGTGTATAAATACACAAACAATACATATATGCTTTCAATTGTGTAATTTAAGTGATCTAGGTAGCTCTGTTTTGAAGTTCAGTTAACGCTAGAAATGTGTTTTGGAGTTTGTACATGCTTTGGAGTTTGTACATGCTTTGTCTCTAGGGGCCACTGTATATATTTATATATAAACATATCAATAAAACCACTTTTTTTTATACATTAGTAATTCCTTTTGTGCATAATGTCATATTATTGTTAATAATAAATTAATTAAAGCAAAAAACAACCTGAAGAGTCGGTCGGAGCCGCAAGAGCCAGCTCTCTAAAAAGATCCGGAAATCCCATCACTACAAGAGACCGCTCAGAGAGTTTGTGCGTTCGCTCAGACACATAAAAAAATAGAGTGAACAGTGCTTATGACTCTCAGACTGAAACATGAAAACAGGTCCGTTTCACAGTTTCCAACACAATTATAATAAGTATGAATCATGTCGTCTTTGATTTACTTTCCAGGTATAAAAAAACAAACAAACCTCCAAGTCATTTTCGCCCGAAGTGACAGACTTGCTGATTTTGTCCATGACATCAGCAGCAGAAACTGTGACCAGTTTTTGCCGGTTTCACCAAATGTCATTAGCGCTGCAGTTTTGCTTTTGGGGCTTGGCTTAATGAGAACAGAGTTGAGCGAAAGGGTGAAATGAAATCTGGGGGACGGGGCTGATGCAATAAGAATTGGCTGCGATATCTTCCAAACTTGCACAATTTAAGCAAGATTTGCGCTCTCCTGCCAACTCCTACCCCACACTAAGTATACTGAGCTGGAACTCATTGTTATTAATAAATCTGCTCTACATTTTAAAGGGAACACGGACAGTTTATTAAGGGTGTATGAATAGTTTTCGATGTCTGTCAGCTAGACCGATTATTGCGCAAACCGTGAAATAAAAACGACACATCATGTCCGTGTAGGATCTGGGTCGTTCCCGATGAGGATAGCCTATTGTGAAATGTGAAGCTCACCTTGAGAGCCTGGAGCTGGATCTGAGGACTCCCGCGGACCCTGTCACCTCAACACAAGAATAAAGCGTTGCCCCACTGTCTTCTCCACACGTGACATCTGCCCCACTGACGTCTGACAGATCCTCATTTTTACAGAGTGCTTCTGCTGACAAGGCGGCGCTCTGAAGAATGAAACTTTGTGACAGCAGAGAGCGGAGGAGGAGTGGTGGGAGTGACTCGTCCAGCCTCCAGTGACACCGGAAAGAATAAATATTTAAATATTCAATCGCGCTTGTCATTTATTCATGGACAACACGAATTTAAAGCTGAATTTTTGTCTTCATCTACCGGACAAACAGAGCAACTACAAACGGTCTTCACAGAGAACCAGAATGCTCATGTCTGAGAAGAGAAGCGCATTTCCCGTCTAAAGAGTTCAACATCATTAAACTGATCATATTAACATTTAAATCATTCTTATGCATCTAAAAGCCTTCCATACAACACCCCAAAATATAAAAAAGGTCCTTTATTTTCAACTAATCCATCCTCTGAGTGAAACAGCAGCTGTGTGTTGTCTTCGTGTTTGTGCTTTTCCTCCAGTCGTATTCAGAGCATTAAAACATGAAATAACCCAAAGTAATACATGACGAACAACATAAATGGCAAGAAAAAAACAGTGGCCTTCATTTCTTCTAGGTCTTATATGGTGGATCAATATAGCTGCTGAGCTGGACAAAAAATCCCAGCATGTACAGCCATCACTACAGAGGAAGCAGCTGGCAGCAAAGCAGACACCAGAGACCATGGAAGGTCAGTGACAACTGAGAAACACAGGGTGGGTGCCCTGGATTTATCCCTGTGAGGTCTGAGCCAACATCAGTGATGACCTTTGTACTCTAAACCCATCACCCTGACTCCATGCTCTCCTGCATTTTGGAGATCAAGGGACAAAAGAAATTCAGTAAAAGTATAATTCTAACTGCAGAAACCCAATTTTCATATTCTCTATAATATGGCCTTTCATTGTAAGAATTCACTGCGGTGAGAGCGTGAGATCTCAGAGAGTTAAATAGCCTTCAAGAGTGAAGGACATTACTGTCATATAACATGGTGATAAACTAGCTCCATCCAATCTCTTTCTTTGAAGTCTTTCAGTGGCACTGGCCCTGACAGTGGTTAAAACCTCACAATTTCCAGTGAATGTACACTCACTGGACACTTTATTAGGTTCACATTCTAGGCACTGGGACAAGAACTGTTTTTATTTTTGGTGGCTGAGGTTCAAGAAACTGCTGGAAGCATTCCTCAGGGACGTTATTGGTTCATGTCATTATGATAGCATCACACAGCTCCTTCCTGTCTGTGGGGCCCATGTGCTTCTCATGAAGAAATTCACAAATTGGACACCACACGTGAAGCGATCTTCAGCAACAGCACTGTGGCCTTCACATGATGCTCAGGTGGGGCTCAGGAGCTCAGAGAGTGCCATGACAGCACCCCTTAGCTCTATTACAGCAGCAGTAGCCTCATTTTTCAATACTAAACAGGATAGATGAGCTTCATGCTGTTTACATGCTATTGCACCAAATTCTGATGCATTCTTTTCAATTTATCCAGTTTTAGTAAACTCCAGTTTTTCTTTCTTTCAGGAGGCTTTTCAGCTGCTCTCCATAAAAAAGTATTTGCAGAACTCCACTTATTCCTCATTTACTTTTGTTGGAATAATAAATTCATGTTTCACCTCAGAATTATACACAGAATACTCCGGAAAGACAAAGTGAATAAATCCTCCTTGAAATACTTGTAGTTTAAAAAACAAAACAAAAAGAAAAGCATGAAAATTAAAACAGTGTATGAAACAGTTGATGCAGCCTGTCTAGCATCAAACCGAACCACAGCAAGTAACACTTAAGCTGTTCCTAATTAAGTGGCTACTTAATTTGAGTGCATATCTCCACCTAGCAGTCGTGGACAGGAGCTACAATTTGGACATTAAACTCTCCGTGAAGTCGGAAGTCCTGTTTTCACAGAGTGCTCTTCACATTAAGGGACGTTACATAAGTGAAGAGGAGATGAAGAGTTTATATATATATATATATATATAACAATATATATATATATATATATATATATATATATATATATATATATATATATATATATATATATATATATAACACCCAGCACGCCCCTGCGGGCGGTTTATCCTTCAAGCTCGGGTCCTCTACCAGAGGCCTGGGAGCTTGAGGGTCCTGCGCAGTATCTTAGCTGTTCCCAGGACTGCGCTCTTCTGGACAGAGATCTCCGATGTTATTCCCGGGATCTGCTGGAGCCACTCGCCTAGCTTGGGAGTCACCGCACCTAGTGCTCCGATTACCACGGGGACCACCGTTACCTTCACCCTCCACATCCTCTCGAGCTCTTCTCTGAGCCCTTGGTATTTCTCCAGCTTCTCGTGTTCCTTCTTCCTGATATTGCTGTCATTCGGAACCGCTACATCGATCACTACGGCCGTCTTCTTCTGTTTGTCTACCACCACTATGTCCGGTTGGTTAGCCACCACCATTTTGTCCGTCTGTATCTGGAAGTCCCACAGGATCTTAGCTCGGTCATTCTCCACCACCCTTGGGGGCATCTCCCATTTTGACCTCGGGACTTCCAGGTTATACTCGGCACAGATGTTCCTGTACACTATGCCGGCCACTTGGTTATGGCGTTCCATGTATGCCTTGCCTGCTAGCATCTTGCACCCTGCTGTTATGTGCTGGATTGTCTCTGGGGCATCTTTACACAGCCTGCACCTGGGGTCTTGCCTGGTGTGATAGACCCCAGCCTCTATGGATCTTGTACTCAGAGCTTGTTCTTGTGCTGCCATGATTAGTGCCTCTGTGCTGTCTTTCAGTCCAGCTTTGTCCAGCCACTGGTAGGATTTCTGGATATCAGCCACCTCCTCTATCTGCCGGTGGTACATACCGTGCAGGGGCCTGTCCTTCCATGATGGTTCCTCGTCTCCCTCCTCTTTCTTGGGTTTCTGCTGCCTGAGGTATTCACTGAGCACTCGGTCAGTTGGGGCCATCTTCCCAATGTATTCTTGGATGTTCGTTGTCTCATCCTGGACTGTGGTGCTGACACTCACCAGTCCCGGCCCCCTTCTATGTCAGTGGCTTCTATCTCCTCCTTTGGCCAGCCTATTACCCCAGCAGGGTACCTGATCACGGGCAGGGCGTACGTGTTGATGGCCCGGATCTTGTTCTTACCATTCAGCTGACTCCTCAGGACTTGCCTGACCCTCTGCAGGTACTTGGTGGTTGCAGCTTTTCTAGCGGCCTCTTCATGGTTCCCATTCGCCTGCGGGATCCCCAGGTACTTGTAACTGTCCTCTATGTCTGCAATGTTGCCTTCTGGTAGTTCAATCCCCTCAGTTCTGACTACCTTCCCTCTCTTTGTTACCATCCGACTACACTTCTCCAGTCCGAACGACATTCCAATGTCATTGCTGTATAGCCTGGTAGTGTGGATCAGTGAATCGATGTCTCGTTCACTCTTGGCATACAGCTTGATGTCATCCATGTACAGGAGGTGGCTGACAACTGCTCCGTTCCGTAGTCGGTATCCGTAGCCAGTCTTGTTAATGATCTCACTGAGGGGGTTCAGGCCTATGCAGAACAGCAGTGGGGACAGAGCATCTCCTTGGTAGATCCCGCACTTGATGGTGACTTGTGCTATGGGCTTGGAGTTGGCCTCTAGTGTTGTACGCCACATCCCCATTGAGTTCCTGATGAAGGCTCTTAGGGTCCCATTGATCTTGTACAATTCTAGGCATTCCAGTATCCAGCTGTGGGGCATTGAGTCATAGGCCTTCTTGTAATCAATCCAGGCAGTGCACAGGTTGGTCAGTCTGGTCTTGCAGTCTCGGCTGACTGTTCTGTCTACCAGTAGTCTGGTGTTTTGCGCCTCTGGTATTCTTGCCAATTCCTTTCTGTGTCCCACTCATGTATTGACCCATGTGCCTGTTCATCTTAGCCGATATGATGCCTGACAGGAGCTTCCATGTAGTACTGAGGCAGGTTATTGGTCGGTAGTTGGAGGGGACCGGTCCCTTCTTGGGGTCCTTGGGGATCAGGACCGTCCGACCTTCGGTTAGCCATTCCGGGTGTCTCTCGTTAACTAGCAGCTGGTTCATTTGTGCTGCCAGACGCTCGTGGAGTGCAGTCAGCTTCTTTAGCCAGTAGGCGTGAACCATGTCGGGCCATGGTGCTGTCCAACTCTTCATACTGGAGACCCTTTCTTGGATATCTGCCACTGTGATGGTTACTGGACCCTGTTCGGGGAGGTCGCTGTGGTCTGCCCTCAGATCCACTAGCCACTGAGCATTGCCGTTATGGGTTGCGTCCTTCTCCCATATGCTCTTCCAGTATTGCTCCGTCTCCAGCCTTGGTGGTGCTGTTCTCTATTATTGTTCCCTTGCCACTGAGAGTACACCTTTGCTGGTTCTGTGGAGAACAGCTGGTTTATTCTCCTGCCTTCTATCTCTCTGGTGTACCTCCTCAAGCGGCTGGCCAAGGCTGTGAGTCTTTGCTTGGCAGTTTCCAAGGCCTCAGGTATGGACAGCTTGCTGTATTTCTTATGCACCTTCTTTGTCGCACCTTTCTGCAACTCCGTTAGTTGGCTAACCTCCCTCCGTGCTACTTTGATCTTGCCCTCTAGCCTCCTTCTCCATGGAGGGTACTGCCCCTTGTGGCTGTTCAACTTGTAGCCAAGCATCTCACTGATCACTGCTGCCGTATTGTAGATCAGCTTGTTAGTGTCGGTAATCGTGGTTGTAGGTATTGTCCGTAGTGCTGCATTAACATCATCTAGCAGACCTTCTGAGGGTACTTCACGTAATCTTGGTAACCGGCTACGGGGGATCCAGGTTTCAAGCTTGGCCATATCCTATTTTTCAGGTCAGTTCCTCTCGCACTCAACGTCTCCTATCGCACTTGGGGCTATGTACCCAATCTCGGGTGGGGGTGATGATATCTCCCCCCTGACCTGGCGTCCTGACTCCTCCTTGCCGTAGCATTTGTGTTGTACCTCGTCAATCTCTAGCTGTGAGAGCAGTCCCTTTTTTCGAATGTTGGAACACTGAGCTACTAGTTGTTTCGCCGTCATTGTGGATGTTGGGTATCGAAGAATCCATAGGTCCTCATCCTATTCATGTAGCCCCTTCCGCCGGGGTTACTTGCGTAGTAGCATTCCAACACGCCCTGTTTTAATATATATATATATATATATATATATATATATAGAAAAATATAATATATATATATATGATTAATCATCTGAAAAAGCTACTGGTGTTTTTTTCTAGATGGGAAGCTGGACTGATGGATGCTTCAGTCTACAAAGTTTAATTGTATAGAGGATATTTAAAACAATATTAAATGTCACAAAACTCAGGTTCAGGTAATGAACAATCATTAGACCATATTATATAATGTATAATAGCACACAAAGTAACATAGAATAAGTCATATTATTAGGACTCTGGCATTTATGTCCATGACATGATGAATTTTACTTTCCTGTTTTTTGCTGCGGTCAAATTTTATGATATTAACAGTGGTTAAGAAGGATTGTAAAGCATTTTAAACACAGAGAAGTAAAATTATGTTTTATTTCTAGAATACGTCTCTAAACACTGGAAGGAAGATGCATTCTTTGGCTATCAGTTTCTAAATGGTACCAATCCCATTTTGATCCAACGCTGTACACAACTGCCCAATAACTTATCTGTCACGGATGAAACGGTTTTCCCTGATGGTCAGCATAATTTGGCAGAAGAAATGGAGGTTTATTTAATTTAAATTTCTATTAAATAAAGTTGACTGATATCTGGTTGCTCTTATTTGTATGTTGGTGAGGTATTTGTATTGGCAAATTTTACTTTGCAGTTGTAATACCCAGACTAAATGCATGGGGTCAAATAATTTCTCATTCCTTCTGAAATTTCAAACAGAAGGGTAACATCTTCCTGTGTGACTACAAGATTTTGGATGAAGTGGAGTCAAACACCATCAATGGGAACAAACAGTTCTTGATGGCCCCGCTTGTCCTACTTTGGAAAAACAATGCTGATCAGTTAATGCCAGTTGCTATTCAGGTGAGCTTAGAACTCAGACATTAATAATGTAAATTAACTGGTTCTTATATAGCACTTTTCAAGCCTACCTGAGCACTCAAATTGCTTTAGACAATGTGCATCTATTGTATACGGATTTTGTTTATCTTTTTCCTTCTGCATAGAGATTAGCTCTTGCTAAACCAATCCCTGTTGTTGTTGCCAATGTCTGTGCCAGAAAAAAGTTCTCAGTAGCTTTAGCTAGGGAATGAAATTAATAAGAATTTATTCCAATTCCAATATCAATATCACTCGTGGATTCCATTCATTATCAATTCTCTTATTGATTGTCTATCCGGTCTTTAAGGCTGACGTCATTAGCCGCGTCTGGGCCCAAACTCCGCTGCAGGTTCCTAAGTCAAAAGATCTCTGCAGCATTACTGAGAGTTTAAAAACTGTCTAAATTGATTCATCTTTAATAAAATGATCAGTGTTGCTGTTTTACCAGGTGTAATGATTAAGTTTAACATCCAGGCATCCATGAAAACGAATTTATTAAATTTAACGAGTTCGAAGTTAGCAGGGAGTTAGCTCGCTAGCTTCCATTTAAATATAATACACCATGTTCTGACTGAGAGACTTCTGAAAAAATTAAAATGTTACAGCTCTGCTATCACTCCCAACATAAATGAAGACAGAAAACTAAACAGCAGTGGCGTTTGTAGGATTACAGAAGTTGGACTAGCAGGTATATAATGATGGCAAGCGGTCAAAAGTCTGGCTGTACTTCACAGTCAAAATATGCAAACTCAGCAGCCTGCAACAAGTGCTTTAAGCTGATACTGTGATACTGTCAAAGGAGGTAACACCTCAAATCCGATGAAACACCTGGCACGCATAGCGTTTTTTTTAAAGCCAAGAAATGCACCGTATTTGATAGCTATGCTGCAGACCTCACACCGAGCACATCTACTGCCCCGAAGAGGAGAGTCCTGGCCCCTAGCCCTGCCAGTGTAGCAGAAAATGATGAGGATGATGATGGCAGCAGCAGCCGTTCTTCTCTGCGTGAGTAGCTTAATGTTGTTCGTGTGTAATTTACGTTGAGTAGGCTAACCACGTTATTACATTAATGCATGTAAGGTGAACTAGCAAACATCACTCAGTAGTTACATGCGGCTGTCTTCTTGTTTGATGGCAGATACTCCCTTCACCCTGGCCAAAAAGGCTAAAATGACCAAAGAAAAAGTGGAAAACAGTTAAACATGAGAGGGTTTTGAAAAGTTTGTGTTTTTTCCATTGTTTAAGCACTGCTTCCAGCCAAGAGTGATACCATATATGCCCCATAGCTGCAGAAAAGGCTAACATTGTTATCTTTTTAAAAAAAACAGCTGAACATGAGAGGTTTTTGGACAAAGTTTGTGTTCTCCATTCTTTAAGCACCGGTTTGAGCACCGTTTAAGCACCGGCACCGTTTCAAAAGTACCGGTTTGGCACCGATATCGGATAAAACCTAAACGATACCCATCCCTACTCAGGAATATCATCTAACAATATCAAACTGAAGTTAAAATCTCATACACCTACACTAATCCTATCCTAATGAGGAGTCACATGTGATCTTTCTCTTAATATTTAGATATGAACAAAACGCCAACAACACAAAGCAAAGATAAAAACAGCAGACAGAAACTTAAAACAATCACAACAAGATCATACAAGATTCTCAAAATTCTCATCTTGTCAATTTAGCTATTGGGATTTATCTGTTAGCTTGTAGCATGGGAGCCAATGCAGCAGGGTCACACAAGACCGGCATCAAAGGAGATGTCAGAGATTTGTGGAGTGACTCTGCACATATTGCGATCTGTCTGTCCTTTCTTGGCCACCTGCCTCATTCAACCTAAAGAAAGTGCCAACCTCTAAATGTGGCGGTACTGGTAAGCAGTGTCTTCTGGACTCGAAGGTCCCCACATGCAACAACCTGTCACTGGCACTCTTTCTTTTTAAGTGATTTTAAACTCTGGTGCTGAATTTAATTGACAGTTCCCATATGGAAAAGATATATATAAATCTTATAAAGTTTGTATCTGTCTTGTGTGAAACTTGTATGAAAAGCATACAAGAGTGAAAACAGATATAAGATCCCTTGAAAAATTATATAAATGAAACTTGTATGTTTTGGATACTTACTAAAACAATATATGAAAGTGGCCACTTTCATGAGTAAATCATATAAGCCTTATATGATTACTCATGAAAGTGGCCACTTTCATGAGTAAATCACATATAAGTTTTTACTATTTCTTTTCCGTATGGGTTAGCTTATGAAACAACTCAGTACGGAGGTTTGGCCCTTGAGGCTCCTGTGGAAGTAACTGCCAGTTACTCCCCACCATCATCATCACAGGGTTTTTGATCAGCACGTTCTGTTTGTCACACTTCTTACAATTCACCATCCCTTCAGCCCCAAATTGGGTCCTTAAACCTGACTTAGAAACTGCAGATTTATCTTTAGTTCCCTAGTAATATTTTGACACAAACAGCAGTGGCTCCTTCCTCCACATGACCCCTAAGACTCTCGGCTACTGGTCTCTCCCCTTTCAATTATCTATAAATTACATTACAAGGGCGAAGAGACTGAAATCACAGTTCCCTCCATGCCTTAACACCTACATCACAGCCGGAGGATACGAAGGCAGACTTTTCTGTGACGTAGAATCATTGATTTGCCAACCAGGGAAAAGGAGGACTGGTACGATCCAGCGTGGATGGGGTTTACCTACTGCTTTCTGTTTTGCTTTTCAGGAACAGTTGGGCAGCTGGGTGTGACTGTGGTGTACATGGTTTCTCTGGCACAACTAGGGCCATTTGGTTCTGTCAACCTAGTGTATTTAAGTAGCAACGAGGCAGATATCCTACGCCTGATTGTTGTCTCTGCTCTGGTGGTTTTGTTGTGACTTGAATTTTGGGAAAGTGTCAATCTGCAGTTTCTACTTTTGCTTTTCGGCAGTCCTCCTTCCAGCTTGCCAGTTTTCCCAGGATCTTTCAGAAGAATATCAGCCATAACCCTTCTCCACTTTCATCAGACTGTCCTGCCACCGTAAATCCTGCACTGCATGCTGCTTACCTGAACACCTGCCTCTCACACACCACTACTCTTACCTTTATTCCTCTCTGCCTCAGCCACCTTTCCTCAAACTCCTCACACAAGACCTTTTTAACTTGACAAATAATCTCTACTCACCTTTAAATTCTTTCATTCAGTATCCAAATCTTTTCCTAGTCATGTGCTTTCCAGTCACTAACTGCCATTTCTCTGTCTCCCTGGATTATCAAAGATCCTTGGTCTGTTTCTTTCCTGCGCCTTTAATCGTTATTTTTACAGTAAATAAAGCTTTTCATTGCAGTTTGTGTTTGAGTTGGTCTGCTCAACATCTATAAAAGTGTTTGATGGTTAGCAGTTTGTAATGATTAAAAAAAGGTAGTATAAGTAAGAAAACACATTTATTCCTTCTCCTGCAGCTGAAGCAGAAACCAACAAAGGACAACCCAATTTTTTATCCTAGTGATTCTGAGTACGACTGGTTGTTGGCCAAGACGTTTGTGAGAAGTGCAAACTTCAACCTTTATGAACTAAATGCTCATCTGCTGCGCACTCATCTGCTGGCTGAGGTTTTTGCAGTGTCACTGCTCCGCAACCTTCCCATGGTGCATCCACTGTACAAGGTATGTAAAGTTGATTAATTGTTTCGAAGATGTAACACAATGGTAAATGGTACAGAAAGCAACAAAACTTGTGACTTTGATGTTAGCCATTTACATATATGTTATACAGCAGAATTAAACATTTGAATATAAAACATCAGACAAGAAAGGAAAAAGTAGTCTTCTTACAAATGAACTTCTCTGTTTCCCTCAGCTTCTCATACCTCACACTCGCTACACTTTGAACATCAACTTCTTAGCTCGGATGCTTCTGATATCTAAAGGAGGAACTTTTGCTAAGGTATAAACAAACAAAAAGGACAAACAAATGTTCTTTTTGACCAACATGTATTTTTTTGCCACTAAGATTTGACTGTTTCCTAGTTTACATCTTCTGGTGGAGAGGGTGCCCTCACAATCCTGAGAAGATCACTGACCTCACTGACCTACAGCTCCCTCTGTATCCCAGATGATATTGAGGAACGTGGACTGAAAGATGTGCCAAACTTCTACTACAGGGATGATGGACTCCAGCTTTGGGAAATCATCAACAGGTTCTATTACCACTTTGTCTGACACAACATACAGAATAACTTCAATTTATTTCGAAGTTCACCTAGGCCATTCTTCACACCCTGGTAAATTTAGTAATGTACTTTCAGATGCTTGCCGAAACAAAAACAAAATTCTTCCAGATGGCTTCCCAGTTATTATTTTAAATGAAAGAATAAATGAATGAAGCCTTTATTTGTGACATGCAGTTGCCTGCAGTGAAACTGACCCTTCTGACCATACATATATTACACAAACATCACATTGCGGAGACAGGTCAGAATAGATAGCATTTAAAAAGAACAGTGAAAATTCACAACGTCAGGGACAGGAGGAGAAAAAAAGGACTCTACTCAGACTCACCTCCACTAGGAGAGCAGTTTAAGGACAGCAAAACAAAAACAACTCAGTGTCTGTGTCCGTTACACGAGTATGTGTGTGAGTGTATCCCGTGTTCACCCCATGCTTTATATTGTACAGCAGACCCTACAATAATAGATACAGAGAAAACCCAACAATCATATGACCCCCTATGAGCAAGCACTTTGGCGACAGTGGGAAGGAAAAACTCCCTTTTAACAGGAAGAAACCTCCACAGAACCAGGCTCAGGGAGGGGCGGGGCCATCTGCTGTGATCGGTTGGGTGAGAGAAAAGACAGGATAAAGACATGCTGTGGAAGAGAGACAGAAGATCAAGTCTCCAGTGGACCCAGGTGGCCTTGAAGGTCAGACAGAAAGTTCAGACAACAATCTTGTTATTAGTAGTGGTGCAACAGGATCAAAAATCTCACGGTTCGATCGGATCACGGTTTCAAGTCACGGATCGGATCAATTTTAGATCAGCAAAAAAGAAAAAAAATTAAAACATTTATTAATTTTTAAGTATTTTTTGCCTATTAAAAACATTCAACTCAAGACTCATTCCACGCAATTATATAAAAACAAATTAAGGTGCAATATAGGGCAGTACAGGGCTTTGTATCTACCACTCCGCTGTGATATAATGAGCGGTCACGTAGCTTTCCGTTGACCTGGAGGTCCACCCGTTTGTAGTTGGGCAACAAAAGATGCCTGGGACAGTTCAGCCTAACTTTAAACTTTTCCTCTC